ATTACTAGGTATAATAATTGTGCTTATGTGTACCTGTACCTAAATAAGCTTATTTTAGTCACTGATGTGTCATGTTTACATGTGTGTGGTCAGTAACAGGACTTCTGACCTACAATAGGCAGCTCCTACTTACAATCGTCTTACAATAAATAAAAACTAGACACATGTACAATATCTGGGTATTTTATTGTAGATGTTTCGCCAACAAGTGACGTTATCAACACAAATTCAATGATATATATGGAAGACAGTAGAACTATATACATACAATGATTGATACATAATAACAAGAGAACACTCATGTTACACCGGCGAAAATCGTCGACAATAAAATAATTAAATTTTACCCATATCTACCTCATCGACTTACAGTTACTTTGCGACCTGATAATCATCCAGGAAGGAACGACGCCTTACTTTATATTTTTGTAATTTTCTTTTGTGAATTGTTTCAGTTGCGTCATTTTGATTTCAATTCTTCATCTGATTTGATAAATTATAAAACCACACATATAGTAAATTGATTATTCTGTTATAAAACTCTAATGCTTAACTTGTTAAATTGTAATGCTCCAAAATTTTAAGGTTCAAATTTCATTGTTAAAATACTCAATTTTACTTCATATTGTTAATTGTTTACTGTAACTTTTACTATTTAATCTGTTATAGCCTAATTATCTTAATTTTAATTTTAACTTTGCCCATAATGCTGTGCATACAAGGGGCTTTTGGCTTGTACTACTATATATCATGTCTAAATAAACTATATTATAATTAGCTCTGCACCTGCACTGACCAGCAGAGGAGACGCCATTGTTTTTTTAATGTGGTACAAGCACGCTAATGTAATGTGCATATTTTCGTCGCTCTAGGGGTTATATTGGACTTAAAACCTCTCAAATAGGAGCCGAAATTGTTGGATGTGCAGTCCTGCATAACGTGAACATTAAGCAGATGGACAGTACAGCTGCGACCTAAGAGTAAATTCTATTTTATGTTAATTTGCAGTAATATTTTGTCATAATTTAGGTAGGGGTATTCTGTACATGACACAGTATTCACAATCATGGTATGTTATGATTATAATTTCGTTACCTAAATATGTATATGTAACATTTATTTACGTTAACATAGTCACAAATATTTATAAAATTTTACCATAATTCTAGTACAGTATATTTCATTGAAATAATATAGGTACTAAGAGTTACTTTGGTATGACAGTAGTTCGAAGGGACTTTTTGCGACTAGTGTTGCAAATTCCAATTCTATGAAGCTTGATAATAATAATCTTTGTTACATTTATGGTATGTACAATGAGCGTACATACCAGGGGCAAATTATTTACCACAATAAGTTGAGTAACTAACTTCGGAAGGCTTCTCAAAATTGTTTACAATTTTATCTAGAACTCAACACGTTTGTCTCATAACCGAAGAGTTATAGTTTAATGTACCTGAGGCTGGTTACAATGTTGCAGTTAACTGAGCTGGTTACAATGTTGCAGTACAACCTTGAGGCTTGTTACAATGTTGCAGTACAACCTTGGGGCTTGTTACAATGTTGCAGTACAACCTTGAGGCTTGTTACAATGTTGCAGTACAACCTTGAGGCTTGTTACAATGTTGCAGTACAACCTTGGGGCTTGTTACAATGTTGCAGTACAACCTTGGGCTTGTTACAATGTTACAGTACAACCTTGAGGCTTGTTACAATGTTGCAGTACAACCTTGGGCTTGTTACAATGTTGCAGTACAACCTTGAGGCTTGTTACAATGTTGCAGTACAACCTTGAGGCTTGTTACAATGTTGCAGTACAACCTTGAGGCTTGTTACAATGTTGCAGTAAACCTTGAGGCTTGTTACAATGTTGCAGTACAACCTTGGGCTTGTTACAATGTTGCAGTATAACCTTGAGGCTTGTTACAATGTTGCAGTATAACCTTGGGGCTTGTTACAATGTTACAGTACAACCTTGAGGCTTGTTACAATGTTGCAGTACAACCTTGGGGCTTGTTACAATGTTGGAGTACAACCTTGGGCTTGTTACAATGTTGCAGTACAACCTTGAGGCTTGTTACAATGTTACAGTAAACCTTGAGGCTTGTTACAATGTTGCAGTACAACCTTGAGGCTTGTTACAATGTTGCAGTACTAACCTTGAGGCTTGTTACAATGTTGCAGTACAACCTTGGGCTTGTTACAATGTTGCAGTATAACCTTGAGGCTTGTTACAATGTTGCAGTACAACCTTGAGGCTTGTTACAATGTTGCAGTATAACCTTGAGGCTTGTTACAATGTTGCAGTATAACCTTGAGGCTTGTTACAATGTTGCAGTACAACCTTGAGGCTTGTTACAATGTTGCAGTACAACCTTGAGGCTTGTTACAATGTTGCAGTACAACCTTGAGGCTTGTTACAATGTTGCAGTACAACCTTGAGGCTTGTTACAATGTTGCAGTACAACCTTGAGGCTTGTTACAATGTTACAGTACAACTTTGAGGCTTGTTACAATGTTGCAGTACAACCTTGGGGCTTGTTACAATGTTGCAGTACAACCTTGGGCTTGTTACAATGTTGCAGTACAACCTTGGGCTTGTTACAATGTTGCAGTACAACCTTGGGCTTGTTACAATGTTGCAGTACAACCTAAGACTTGTGTTATTTATACTTCTGATAAAACACCAAGAATCCTAGTATCGTGTATTTCATCTTTTTCTTTAACATGTACTGCAATTACATTTTTCCCATTTTCTAATTGTTGTGTGTGAGGGAGACGAGAATCTGCCTCATTAACCATCGTGAAGTTCGATGTAATCTAGTTTAAACTTGTATCTGTATAATATCTACCAAAAGTATATTTGTATCTGTATATCTACCAGAAGTATATTATTTAAGTTTCACTTAATAGCGTGTGTATTTGTTACACAGTGGTACCTCAGGCGTCCCACAGCCTCCACAACACCCACACGCTCTTCCCTAAAAAGGTTAAAAATTATTAGCGGCTGGAGAGCGAAGGTTCTGTATACTGGTTACCTACGACCCTCAGGAATGTTGAGCGTAACCTGGCGGTTCTTGTTGAGCTCCAGCTGCAAAACCAGCTGAGTCTGGGTTCATACTGTTCTGCAGTGCTCTCCCATGCTGCACACACACTCCAAGCAATGAGTCTTGGTGGTTCATTCTGCAGTGCTCTCCCATGCTGCACAAACACTCCAAGCAATGAGTCTTGGTGGTTCATTCTGCAGTGCTCTCCCATGCTGCACAAACACTCCAAGCAATGAGTCTTGGTGGTTCATACTGTTCTGCAGCGCTCTCCCATGCTGCACACACTCCAAGCAATGAGTCTTGGTGGTTCATTCTGCAGTGCTCTCCCATGCTGCACACACACTCCAAGCAATGAGTCTTGGTGGTTCATTCTGCAGTGCTCTCCCATGCTGCACACACACTCCAAGCAATGAGTCTTGGTGGTTCATACTGTTCTGCAGTGCTCTCCCATGCTGCACAAACACTCCAAGCAATGAGTCTTGGTGGTTCATTCTGCAGTGCTCTCCCATGCTGCACAAACACTCCAAGCAATGAGTCTTGGTGGTTCATACTGTTCTGCAGTGCTCTCCCATGCTGCACAAACACTCCAAGCAACAAGTCTCTGCTGCCGTTCTTTTCTCTTATTATTAATGAAGTTAATTGGGAAGAACTAAACCCGTAGGGATCATATATCGCCTGGAAAATGAGCGCCAATTAAGTTCAGCCCATAGAAGGGGAAGGACAGGTCCAATTCCATGAATCAAGAGCTTCATCGGCAACAAGGAACATCCTTGGAGTTATTTCCTGGACCCCACCAGTTGCAGTGACATACAGTGTTCTCCCACGCCCACTTGGGAACATCTCAAATTAATATTGCAGTTTTAAAACTGTAGTGTAACTGCGCCTCTGGCAAGACAGTGATGGAGTGAATGATGGTGAAAGTTTTTCTTTTTCGGGTCACCCGACCTTGGTGGGAGACGGCCAATGTGTTAATACAGTCGCAGACAGACGATCTTAACAATGGTAGACTGAATTTTCTTGAACTGTAAGAAGGCTTTCGACAGAGTAACACACAAGAGACTACTTGAAAAGCTAGAGGAGCAGGCAGGAATAGGAGGGAAAGTACTGAAATGGATCAGGGAATACTTGACAGGAAGGAGTTAGTGTAATATGTTAATTATGCACCCCATACCCATCATGTGGACGGTAGTCAGAAGATTACAGAGGTACATAATGGGTCCAGGGACTGGACTCCAAAGTTTTGATAGATGAGCAAGTTACAGAGGTAATGAACTCACAATTACAGGAAGGAGACAAGTGTGTCGGTACGAGACGAGGTGTCAGAGTGGGTTCACGTGTTGAGTGGAGTTCTACAAGGGTCAGTCCTAGGTCCGGTGCTCTTTCCTGTACATGTGAATGACATGACGGAAGAAATATATTATAGATCAGGCTGTCCCAGTTCACAGACATGTGGGAAAGTAATGGAAGAGACAATACCGAACAAGAGTCCATCAGGTAACTTACTTAAGGGGAATTTGGACAGATTGTAAGTCTGGTCCGATAAATGGCTTCTGGAGATTTAACCCCCCCCCCTTTCAGCTTTCACAGCGAGTTTCCTTTGTGAGATAACTTTAATTAAGCACAATGAAAATACGTCACTGATTTTTTTAGTTGTCGTGGGTAATTTACATATTACTATGAATGATAATTATAATCATCACCTAAATTGTGCATACCTGTACCTGTGTAGCCGTACCTAATAACTTATTGCCACTGGGGTCCTAATTTATCCCAATGGAAATAAATTACTTGGAGTTATGTTAGGTAATTTACACTGTGAGATAACCGTACTTACGTGTACCTGAACCTAAATAAACTGGATCAAGAGCTCATCATAAACGTCAATTTTCACTAAGTCAAAACTTAATTACAATATGACAAACATAACCTGAGCAAATATACACATTAATTTACCTTTTAATAGAGCAGCTTGTGATTTCTGAGAGCAAAGTGAGCAGCACCCTTCCCCGGCGATGTATGAGAGAAGACTGACGTCCTGACGTTATTATCAGCCACCACCACCAGTGTCTGGCTGGCTGATGACCCCCCTCAACCCCACCCCTCAATCCCACCCCTCCATCCCACCCCTCAATCCCACCCCTCAATCCCTCCCCTCAAACCCCACCCCTCAACCCCACCCCTCAACCCCACCCCTCAACCCACCCCTCAATCCCTCCCTGAACCCCACCCCTCAATCCCTCCCCTCAACCCCACCCCTCAACCCCACCCCTCAACCCCACCCCTCAATCCCTCCCCTCAACCCCACCCCTCAATCCTCCCCTCAACCCCACCCCTCAATCCCTCCCCTCAACACCTTACCTTACCCCTCAACCCCATACCCTACCCCTCAACCCCCACCCTACCACTCAACCCCCTACCCTACCACTCAACCCACCTACCCTAACCACCTCAACCCCCTACCCTACCCTCAACCCCCAACACTACCCTCCATCCCCTCTACACCTCCACCCCCTACCCTACCCCTAACCCCCTACCCTTCTCCACAACCCCTACCCCACCCCTCAACCTCCACTCCTCCCATCTCTTCAACAATTCCATTTGAAACATAAACACATATGCAGTTTAATGTGATCCTTTATTGACAACGTTTCACCCACACAGTGGGCTTTTTCAAGTCACACACAGATCTGTGTGTGACTTGAAAAAAACCACTGTGTGGGCGAAACGTTGTCAATAAAGGTTCACATTAAACTGCATATGTGTTTATGTTTCCATTGTGTCGGTATTTTATACCATTTATTCTCAACAATTCCAGTTAATATATATTATGACAACACAAACAATGTGAAGTGCGAGTCATCGCCTTACTTTATTTAAGATCACAAATAACATATGGGACAAAAGTGTTTTTCTGGGTATTTAAGAAGTTAGATAAAAGTTCTAGAACCAGGTGACTTTATGCCCTAATTTGTTAGTGAATGCGCAGCATGTCTGCTCCTACACACTGGTGATGTCACCTGTGCTCCTACACACTGGTGATGTCACCTGTGCTCCTACACACTGGTGATGGTACCTGTGTTCTTACACACTGGTGATGGTACCTGTGTTCTTACATACTGGTGATGGTACCTGTGTTCTTACACACTGGTGATGGTACCTGTGTTCTTACACACTGGTGATGTCACCTGTGTTCTTACACTGGTGATGTCACCTGTGTTCTTACACACTGGTGATGGTACCTGTGTTCCTACACACTGGTGATGGTACCTGTGTTCTTACACACTGGTGATGTCACCTGTGTTCTTACACACTGGTGATGTTACCTGTGCTCCTACACACTGGTGATGTCACCTGTGCTCCTACACTGGTGATGGTACCTGTGTTCCTACACACTGGTGATGTCACCTGTGCTCCTACACACTGCTGATGGTACCTGTGTTCCTACACACTGGTGATGGTACCTGTGTTCCTACACACTGGTGATGTCACCTGTGTTCCTACACACTGGTGATGTCACCTGTGTTCCTACACACTGGTGATGTTACCTGTGTTCCTACACACTGGTGATGGTACCTGTGTTCCTACACATTGGTGATGGTACCTGTGTTCCTACACACTGGTAATGGTACCTGTGTTCCTACACACTGGTGATGGTACCTGTGTCCCTACACATTGGTGATGTCACCTGTGTTCCTACACACTGGTGATGTTACCTGTGTTCCTACACACTGGTGATGGTACCTGTGTTCCTACACACTGGTGATGTTGCCTGTGTTCCTACACACTGGTGATGTTGCCTGTGTTCCTACACACTGGTGATGGTACCTGTGTTCCTACACACTGGTGATGTCACCTGTGCTCCTACACACTGGTGATGTCACCTGTGCTCCTACACACTGGTGATGTTACCTGTGTTCCTACACACTGGTGATGGTACCTGTGTTCCTACACATTGGTGATGGTACCTGTGTTCCTACACACTGGTAATGGTACCTGTGTTCCTACACACTGGTGATGGTACCTGTGTTCCTACACACTGGTGATGGTACCTGTGTCCCTACACATTGGTGATGTCACCTGTGTTTCTACACACTGGTGATGTCACCTGTGTTCCTACACACTGGTGATGGTACCTGTGTTCCTACACACTGGTGATGTCACCTGTGTTCCTACACACTGGTGATGGTACCTGTGCTCCTACACACTGGTGATGGTACCTGTGTTCCTACACACTGGTGATGTCACATGTGTTCCTACACACTGGTGATGGTACCTGTGTTCCTACACACTGGTGATGGTACCTGTGTTCCTACACACTGGTGATGTCACCTGTGCTCCTACACACTGGTGATGTCACCTGTGCTCCTACACACTGGTGATGTTACCTGTGTTCCTACACACTGGTGATGGTACCTGTGTTCCTACACATTGGTGATGGTACCTGTGTTCCTACACACTGGTAATGGTACCTGTGTTCCTACACACTGGTGATGGTACCTGTGTTCCTACACACTGGTGATGGTACCTGTGTCCCACACATTGGTGATGTCACCTGTGTTTCTACACACTGGTGATGTTACCTGTGTTCCTACACACTGGTGATGGTACCTGTTTTCCTACACACTGGTGATGTTGCCTGTGTTCCTACACACTGGTGATGGTACCTGTGTTCCTACACACTGGTGATGGTACCTGTGCTCCTACACACTGGTGATGTCACATGTGCTCCTACACACTGGTGATGTTACCTGTGTTCCTACAGACTGGTGATGGTACCTGTGTTCCTACACATTGGTGATGGTACCTGTGTTCCTACACACTGGTAATGGTACCTGTGTTCCTACACACTGGCGATGGTACCTGTGTTCCTACACACTGGTGATGGTACCTGTGTCGCTACACATTGGTGATGTCACCTGTGTTCCTACACACTGGTGATGGTACCTGTGTTCCTACACACTGGTGATGTTACCTGTGTTCCTACGCACTTGTGATGGTACCTGTGTTCCTACACACTGGTGATATTGCCTGTGTTCCTACACACTGGTGATGGTACCTGTGTTCTTACACACTGGTGATGTCACCTGTGCTCCTACACACTGGTAATGATACCTGTGTTCCTACACACTGGTGATGTCACCTATGTCCCTACACACTGGTGATGGTACCTGTGTTCCTACACACTGGTGATGTCACCTGTGCTCCTACACACTGGTGATGGTACCTGTGTTCCTACACACTGGTGATGTTTACCTGGAGACCTGGAGAGAGTTTCGGGGGTCAACGCCCCCGCGGCCCGGTCTGTGACCAGGCCTCCTGGTGGATCACCTGTGTTCCTACATACTGGAGATGTCACCTGTGTCCCTACACACTGGTGATGGTACCTGTGTTCCTACACACTGGTGATGTTACCTGTGTTCCTATACACTGGTGATGTCACTTTTGTTCCTACACACTGGTGATGGTACCTGTGTTCCTACACACTGGTGATGGTACCTGTGTTCCTACACACTGGTGGTGGTACCTGTGTTCCTACACACTGGTGATGTCACCTGTGTTCCTACACACTGGTGATGTCACCTGTGCTCATACACACTGGTGATGTCATCTGTGCTCATACACACTGATGTCACCTGTGCTCCTACACACTGGTGATGTCACCTGTGCTCATACACACTGGTGATGTCACCTGTGCTCATACACACTGGTGATGTCACCTGTGCTCATACACACTGGTGATGTCACCTGTGCTCATACACACTGATGTCACCTGTGCTCCTACACACTGGTGATCTCACCTGTACTCACCTCGCCTAGTTGAAGTTGCAGGAGTCGAGTCCAAGCTCCTGGCCCCACCTCTTCACTGGTCGCTACTAGGTCACTCTCCCTGAACCTTGAGCTTTATCATACCTCTGCTTAAAGCTATGTATGGATCCTGCCTCCACTACATCGCTTCCCAAACTATTCCACTTCCTGACTACTCTGTGGCTGAAGAAATACTTCCTAACATCCCTGTGATTCATCTGTGTCTTCAGCTTCCAACTGTGTCCCATCTCTGGAACATCCTGTCTTTGTCCACCTTGTCAATTCCTCTCAGTATTTTGTATGTCGTTATCATGTCCCCGTGTTCCTACACTGATGTCACCTGTGCTCCTACACACTGATGTCACCTGTGCTCCTATACTGATGTCACCTGTGTTCCTACACACTGATGTCACCTGTGCTCCTACACTGATGTCACCTGTGCTCCTACACACTGGTGATATCACCTGTGCTCCTACACTGGTGATGTCACCTGTGCTACACACTGGTGATGTCACCTGTGCTCCTACACTGTTGAAGTCACCTGAGAAATCAAGAATTTCTGGCCACATGTTGGGTTGCAAGATTAGAGAAACACTTGAAAGTGAGCTCTGGTGGCTCTGGTGGTTAACGCTCTCGCTTCACACGGCGAGGGTCTGGGCTCGATTCCCAGCCAGAGTAGAAACATTGGGTGTGTTTCTTTCCACCTGTTGTCTATGTTCCCCATCAGTAAAATGGGTACCTGGGTGTTAGTCGACTGGCGTGGGTTGCATCCTGGGACACTGACCTAATGTGCCCAAAATGGTCAGCATAACAAGGGGCTTCCTATGTAGTAGTATGTCATTGATGTCAGCTAGGACTGTATACCATGTACATGTACTTGTAGTAAATAAAGATATTATTATTATTATTATTATTATTATTATTATTATTATTATTATTATTATCTAATACAGTACTCTATACAGCATAAATGTATAATATACAGTGATGGAGTGAATGATGGTGAAAGTTTTTCTTTTTCGGGCCACCCTGCCTTGGTGGGAATCGGCCGGTGTGATAATAATAAAAAAAAAAATTACTGATTTTATTAGGAAGAAAAAAATTAATTTAATTAATCTATTTATGTATTTAGGTTTACAGTATAATAGAGTATTGATAAATATACATCCTCATGTTAATAAAAGTCAAGAACTGTCCCACAAATTTATTCACACTAAAAAAACAGGGAACAGGTGAGGTTAGAACCTATGGCAAGTGAGGCATACAACTCCTGAGCAGTGTGTAAGCCATGGGTTCAAACCTCATCTGTTCCGTGGTTTGTTTGCAATTGTGTTATTACTCACATTTTCTTCCGTGAACACATGTGTAGTAACAAATAATCTTCACTTGGAGAGAAAACTTCAGACAACGTTTCAGTCCAATGTGGATCATTACCAGGTCTTAAGTTTCTTCAGCGATGTTTTGGTCCAGACTGGACCAAAACATCGCTGAAAGTTATCTGTCCAAAGTGTGAGTATTGTGGTGACATTCTTCTAATATAATGTTTGTGTAATTTCTCCTTAGTTTTTTATAGTGTAGTATTGGAATAAAAATCATTTGTACCACAGTATTACAGATTTTGGTAATGTACAATACATTCAAATTATGTCATATTTTCTTTGTACTATACTACTAAAATATTTAGTGAAGAACGATGGCATTATATACACAAATGTTTATATACTGCAGACTGATAAATTAATTCTGTATATCAGTAATATAAGTTAGTAATACATATTAACTTGGTCATTCAAAAAATACATTACAAAAGGTTTCGATACTTTTTTTCTAACCTTGTGAAAATTCACAAACTAAGCTCCGTGGCACCAGGTAGTCAAGGAACCCCTCCTGAAATATTAATATCATTTTAAACATTATTACATAAATCTCACAACCTCTTTTGTATCCTGTCTCCTATTCTTCCTGGAATGACCCCTAACCCTGCTTCCTTCCACCCCAGATTTGATAAATTAGACACATGTGCAACTCTTGGGTATCTTTATTGAGGAAACGTTTCGCCACTGTGTGGCGAAACATTTCCTCAATAAAGATTTATACACCATCTTATCCCTCTTCATCCTCTTTATATACCCTAAACACCCTTCTCAGCCCACTGATGACCCTACAGTGCCTCTTAATTTCTTTGCTCCAAGTTGACACCACACACACTCTGCTCTTCCACTTGACATCTCCACTGCCTCTAACTTGCTTGCTGCTAAGAAAATAACTATATTATCACTATCAATAATGCATCTCATTTCCCAATATTATTAGTTTCTGACTTCCTCAAAAAGTTGTATATAGTATAATGAGTTTTACAATAAATTCTTAATAAACCTATGCTGAAAAGTACATCACCTATATACCTAGACTGTTTTAAATAAAGAAAGAAATGAATACAGTGGACCCCCGCATAACGATCACCTCCGAATGCGACCAATTATGTAAGTGTATTTATGTAAGTGCATTTGTACATGTATGTTTGGGGGTCTGAAATGGACTAATCTACTTTACAATATTCCTTATGGGAACAAATTCGGTCAGTACTGGCACCTGAACATACTTCTGGAGTGAAAAAATATCGTTAACCGGGGGTCCACTGTATACGGTAAAAAATAAACAAACCTTAAATAATAAAGCAAAGCATTCACTTACATAAAGAGGCGGGCAGTTGATGCGAGCATACCACTCCATGCTGTATAAACACATTAAAATGCCTGTACCAAGTATTAGGGTAACCCAGAGGAAGATGTTGAACTGACGAGCATTACTGTTTACAAACATAAAGGCAACTGCAAAAAAAAAAAAAGGGTAATAATCAGTTTAATAGAATCTTATGACAATATATATTTGCATTAGAGATATATAAATAAACAGTATTTAGATAAAGGTAGGGATGTTTTCATTGCATTTATGGATTTAGAAAAGGCATATGATAGAGTGGATAGGGGAGCAATGTGGCAGATGTTGCAAGTATATGGAATAGGTGGTAAGTTACTAAATGCTGTAAAGAGCTTTTATGAGGATAGTGAGGCTCAGGTTAGGATGTGTAGGAGAGAGGGAGACTACTTCTCGGTAAAAGTAGGTCTTAGACATGGATGTGTAATGTCACCATGGTTAACATATTTACAGATGAAGTTGTAAAAGAAACAAATGCTAGGGTACTCGGGAGAGGGGTGGGATTAAATTATGGGGAATCAATACAAAATGGGAGTTGTTACAGTTACATTTTGCTGATGATACTGTGCTTTTGGGAAATTCTAAAAAGAAGCTGCAAAGGTTAGTGGACAGGTTTGGAAAGGTGTGTAAGGAAAGAAAGGTGAAAGTGAACATAGAAGAGAGTAAGGTGATGAGGGTATTCACTATGGCAGCAGACTGCCATAGTGAATATTACCAATAGAGCCAAAACAAATTAATGGGTACTGTATACTATACTGTACACAGTATACAGAATACTAAAGTATGAAAACTAAATACATTCACTAACACATTTCATATATTATGTACATAAGTATATTGTACAGTGGTTTTAATTGGTGCTGTAGATGTAAAAGAATAATAAACTCTTCTAGTTTAATACAGGTAACTTCCAACCTACAAACATGTTCAGTTCCCAATGTTTCAAGTCAAACAAGTTGTTTGTAAACAAACCATACCACGGGCGGGATTTGAACCCGCGGGTTCAAATCCCGCCCGTGGTATGGTTTGTTTGCAATCGTGTCATTACGATTTCGTGAGTCAAGTTGTTTGTATAAAACAGTGTATTAGAAAAAAATCTGTTTGTACAGAAGACTGCAATACTAAAGATAGTTAGGTTTTCCACATATTTATACTTAGGCTGGTGTAAAAATATAATTGGTTCATAACTGTCCTATTCGTAGGTATGGATGTGTGTCTTAACTCACAAAATTGTATCAACACAATTGCAAACAAACCACAGAACAGGTGGGGTTTGAACCTATGGCAAGTGAGTTCTAAAGCTCCATTTGTAAGCTAGAAGCATGAATTAGAAATTTACCACATCACCTGCGAACTACGAATACAGTACGTGTTATTATTTTTTCGTGGGAAACAACCACTGCACCTGTAAGTATCGTAAACCACCTGGGAAATACGAGATAATGAGGTTTGATTTGGGGAGAGAAACATTAGCTCCATTCCTTTAATCAAAAACCCTTCACTGGCATCAAGGCATCCCCCTTAAAGGGTGGGAGCTTAGGAAATACCAGGATAAACATACATGTACAGTGGACCCCCGGTCAACGATATTTTTTCATTCCAGAAGTATGTTCAGGTGCCAGTACTGACCGAATTTGTTCCCATAAGGAATATTGTGAAGTAGATTAGTCCATTTCAGACCCCCAAACACACACGTACAAACGTACTTACATAAATACACTTACATAATTGGTCGCATTGGGAGGTGATCATTAAGCGGGGGTCCACTGTATATCTAATTCTTTTCTGAGGCTGATTATAGCTATATTTCTCAGTTTGTCTTAATATTGGTTTATATTACTGATCAGTACTATTTCCCTGAATTTTTAAAATGCTCATATATTTTACTGATGTCTTCCACCATGATTATAAAATAGTGCATATAAAAAATGAGGTTATACTCTAACATTATAGTGTTACCTCCAAAGCCTCCAAACATGATGAGAAGGACCGGATAAAAGAACTTAAATGCAAAGGCGAAGATGTATTCATGCACCACCGAAGATATAAAAAACACCACCAGCATTGGGAAGCATCGAAGCCGTGCGCAGCCTTCGCCCTGTTTTCTCTGAAGGACATGTAGCAAAAAATGAAGAATAAGTCACAATACTGGATCTGAAACAATTTACAACTAACCAACAATTCAGAGATGAAAATACACGTACAGTGGTACCTCGGGATACGAACTTAATTCGTTCCAGAAGGCTGTTTGAGTGCCAATACCGAACAAATTTGTTCCCTTAAAGGACACAAGTGCAACTAATGTGACATTTTATTGTGGCAACGTTTGCTCTCCAGGAGCTTGACAAAACTCCTGGAGAGCAAAACGTTGCCACAATAAAATGTCACATTAGTTGCACTTGTGTCCTTTTACTTTACATATTGTCGGTAATTCTACCAACATTATTACAAATTTGTTCCCATAAGGAATAATATAAATTAGATTAATCCGTTTCAGACCCCCAAAAATACACTTACAAAAGCACTTACATAAATACACTTACATAACTGTTAGAGTTTTAAGCTGTTCGTATCCACAGGTGCCACTGTATATGAAATTTCAATTTCCTGAACAACAACAACAATAATAATAATTTACATACGATACAGTTTTCACAAAATTAGGTGACATTTAATAATATACAGTGGACCCCCGCATAACGATTACCTCCAAATGTGACCAATTATGTAAGTGCGTTTGTACGTGTATGTTTGGCAGTCTGAAATGGACTAATCTACTTCACAATATTTCTTATGGGAACAAATTCGGTCAGTACTGGCACCTGAACATACTTCTGGAGTGAAAAAATATCGTTAACCGGGGGTCCACTGTATATGGAAAGCATCTGGTTATACAGAGCATGACTTAGCAATGGTCCAAGATGGACCACTGCTAAGTCATCTGTAGACTGTGAACTAGTTGTGACAAGTCGCATTGCATAAACAACATTAAATGTACAGAGCTTAAGATTAACCCGTAAACGGTCCAAACGTATATATACGTTTTTACCGCTAGTGCCCCAAACGTATATATACGTTTTTACCGCTAGTGCCCCAAACGTATATATACGTTTTTAATGCTAGTGCCCCAAACGTATATATACGTTTTATGTGTCCTACATTTAACATTGCCACGATAAGCCTGAGTCGCCTAGACATGTGGGAATAGATGTGAGAATGGGTGTGAGCACTCACTGTGCACCATATTAAAATAATTGGGGATGCCTGGGTACCATATGCTCTTTTTTCCTATTAAAAACAATGTTTTTTTTCTCAAAAAAGTTGGGGCAGTACGGTAGTGAACGTATATATACATTTAGACCGTTTACGGGTTAATATGAAGATGTTGCAGTTGCATTAAGAGTCAAAAATATTCACACTTTGAAATCCAGAAAGTTATTTAAAATTCATGCTTAACATCTATAAACACTAGTTTGGTAATGTTATTTGAATTACATGGGGTTAAAAAGTGGAAATATTGTACACTGCTAAAGAATTAGTAATTTTTATGTACATATATGTACATGTATTACATTTAATTTTTTTACACTACCAAAAATTATTAAATACTAAACAGTTTATACAGTCACTTTGAAGTTTGAGTGTTTAACCCGTAAACGGTCCAAACGTATATATACGTTTTTTCAATATTTGAAAGCATGTAAAAAAAGCGGATCTTCTTTTTGTTTTTTTTACATTTGAAAATGTGTAAAAAAACTTTGATCTACTTTTGTAGCACTACACACGTGAATGTAGATCTGCTTGGACCGTTTACGGAATTGGAGCTACCGTCCCATTCTGTGAATCAAGACTTCCTTTCCAATACCACAGACATTACATGACCCTTGATGCATAACATCAGTTAGGGAGTTGATCTCGGCTGGAAAAATACTGAACAACCCATACGGATTTAGTACTGTACATCACACAAATTCATATATGTAAATACAGTGGACCCTCGACCAACGATGGCATCGTCTAACGTTAAATCCGACTAATAATACATGTTAACACTAACATTTTGCCTCGGCTAATGCTAAAAAAAACTCGACTAACAATATTCGTTCTCGGGTACCAATTAATATCGTTAGTTGAGGGTCCACTAATAATCCTCATGGAATTAACACTTCTCCATAAATATATATGTACTGTAATCTAACACCTTTGAAGAGTACAATGTTTAATTTATTCAATAACTGCAAACATTCTGTATTCACTAAGACAAAATAAATATTCATCATACAGTACGTACATACAATACAAGAGACATGCCTCCGAGGGTGGGACGGTAAGGAAGACGGAGGGAGAACAATTGGAGATCCAAGCTTCTCAGTGTGGGAAGGTAAGAAAGGGAAGGGAGAACACTGGACCCCCGCATAACGATGGCATCACATAGCGATTTTTCCGCATACCGATTACTTTTATCGCAAAATTTTTGCCGCGCATACCGATTAAAAACCCGCTTACCGATTTTCGTCCGAGACGCGTCCAATGTGCCCTCAGCCAGCCTCACATGTGCCGGCCGTCCCATTGTTTACCAGCCAGCCTCCGCGGTAACATCCAAGCATACACTCGGAATATTTCGTATTATTACAGTGTTTTCGGTGCTGTTTCTGGAAAATAAGTGACCATGGGCCCCAAGAAAGCTTCTCTAGTGCCAACCCTGGTGTAAAAAGGGTGAGAATTAGTATGGAAATTAAGAAAAGATTTTGAAGGGTTGGGGCTAACCCTGAGAGCCTATGCCAGTTGGGGGAATCCATTGTGCCTACTCAAAGATTAAGGAAAGGGGTGCACAGGGGGTTGAACTGCAAACCTTTAGATGAAAATCACCCTGACACAGCTGTTGCAAGCCGTGCTGGTGACTATTTCAATGACAATGTTGTGGCCCATTTTAGACAAATCGTAAAGGAACGGGAGGTACAGAGCTCTATGGACAGATTTGTTGTGCGACAGAGGTCCAGTGACTTTTCAAGCGGTCCTAGTAGGCATTAAAAAGAAGGGAAGAAACCCCCGGAAAGGACTTGCTACCTCAAGTCCTAATGGAAGGGGATTCCCCTTCTAAACAGTAAGAAGATAATGCTCTCCCCTCCTCCCTCCATCAATCATCACCAGATCTTCAATAAAAGTAAGTGTCATTTAATTGTGCATGCCTTTTTCAGTTTGTGTGTATTAAAATTAACATTTCATGTGGTAAAAAAAAATTTTTTTCATACTTTTGGGCGTCTTGCACGGATTAATTTGATTTCCATTATTTCTTATGGGGAAAATTCATTCGCATAACGATTATTTCGCATAACGATGAGCCCTCTTGCACGGATTAAAATCGTTAACCGGGGGTCCACTGTATAAGCTTCTCAGTGTGGGAAGGTAAGAAAGGGAGCACACTGGGAGATATAAGCTTCTCAGTGTGGGAAGGTAAGAAAGGGAAGGGAGAACACTGGGAGATATAAGTTCTCATGTGGGAAGGTAAGAAAGGGGAAAGGGAGAACACTGGGAGATATAAGCTTCTCAGTGTGGGAAGGTAAGAAAGGGAAGGGAGAACACTAGGAGATATAAGCTTCTCAGTGTGGGAAGGTAAGAAAGGGAAGGGAGAACACTGGGAGATATAAGCTTCTCAATGTGGAAAGGTAAGAAAGGGAAGGGAGAACACTGGGAGATATAAGCTTCTCAGTGTGGGAAGGGAAGGGAGAACACTGGGAGATATAAGCTTCTCAAGGTGGAAGGTAAGAAAGGGAAGAGAGAACACTGGAGATATAAGCTTTTCAGTGTGGGAAAGGGAAGAAAGGGAAGGGAGAACACTGGGAGATATAAGCTTCTCAGTGTGGGAAGGTAAGAAAGGGAAGGGAGAACACTGGGAGATATAAGCTTCTCAGTGTGGGAAGGTAAGAAAGGGAAGGGAGAACACTGGGAGATATAAGCTTCTCAGTGTGGGAAGGTAAGAAAGGGAAGGGAGAACACTGGGAGATATAAGCTTCTCAGTGTGGGAAGGTAAGAAAGGGAAGGGAGAACACTGGGAGATATAAGCTTCTCAGTGTGGGAAGGGAAGGGAGAACACTGGGAGATATAAGCTTCTCAGTGTGGGAAGGTAAGAAAGGGAAGGGAGAACACTGGGAGATATAAGCTTCTCAGTGTGGGAAGGGAAGGGAGAACACTGGGAGATATAAGCTTTCAGGTGGGAAGGTAAGAAAGGAAGGAAACACTGGGAGATATAAGCTTCTCAGTGTGGGAAGGTAAGAAAGGGAAGGGAGAACACTGGGAGATATAAGCTTCTCAGTGTGGGAAGGTAAGAAAGGGAAGGGAGAACACTGGGAGATATAAGCTTCTCAGTGTGGGGAAAGGGAAAAAAGGGAAGGGAGAACACTGGGAGATATAAGCTTCTCAGTGTGGGAAGGTAAGAAAGGGAAGGGAGAACACTGGGAGATATAAGCTTCTCAGTGTGGGAAGGTAAGAAAGGGAAGGGGGAACATGGAGATATAAGCTTCTCAGTGTGGGAAGGTAAAAAAGGGAAGGGAGAACACTGGGGGATATAAGCTTCTCAGTGTGGGAAAGGGAAGAAAGGGAAGGGAGAACACTGGGAGATAAAGCTTCTCAGTGTGGGAAGGTAAGAAAGGGAAAGGGGGAACACTGGGAGATATAAGCTTCTCAGTGTGGGGAAAGGGAAGAAAGGGAAGGGAGAACACTGGGAGATATAAGCTTCTCAGTGTGGGAAGGTAAGAAAGGGAAGGGAGAACACTGGGAGATATAAGCTTCTCAGTGTGGGAAGGTAAGAAGGGAAGGGAGAACATGGGGATAAAGCTTCTCAGTGTGGGAAGGTAAGAAAGGGAAGGGGGAACACTGGGAGATATAAGCTTCTCAGTGTGGGAAGGTAAGAAAAGGGGAAGGGGGAACACTTGGGGGATATAAGCTTCTCAGTGTGGGAAGGTAAGAAAGGGGAAAGGAGAACACTGGAGATATAAGCTTCTCATGTGGGAAGGTAAGAAAGGAAGGGAGAACACTGGGATATAAGCTCCAGTGTGGGAATACGAAAGGAAGGAGAACACTGGGAGATATAAGCTTCTCAGTGTGGGAAGGTAAGAAAGGGAAGGGAGAACACTGGGAGATATAAGCTTCTCAGTGTGGGAAGGTAAGAAAGGGAAGGGAGAACACTGGGAGATATAAGCTTCTCAGTGTGGGAAGGTAAGAAAGGGAAGGGAGAACACTGGGGGATATAAGCTTCTCATATGGGAAGGTAAGAAAGGGAAGGGGAACACTGGGAGATATAAGCTTCTCAGTGTGGGAAGGTAAGAAAGGGAAGGGAGAACACTGGGAGATATAAGCTTCTCAGTGTGGGAAGGTAAGAAAGGGAAGGGAGAACACTGGGAGATATAAGCTTCTCAGTGTGGGATAATAAGAAGGGAAAGCATTACAACTTGTATGTTCTGAAGATTAACTTAACCTAAAGAAGTTAATACCTACTAAACTATGTCATGCACTAAAATTACCATTCCAAGAAACAATGCATCATTGTTTCTCGGAATTTACCTGGAGCGAGTTTCGGGTGTCAACGCCCCCATGGCCTGGTCTGTGACCAGGCCTCATGGTGGAACAGGGCCTGATCAACCAGGCTGTTACTGCTGGCAGCACGCAATCAAACGTATGAGCCACAGCTCGGCTGGTAGTCATATATCCTACACTAAACTGCTCTAAGTTACTAAAACTGACCTGCCAGTAAACAATGTCCCTGTACACATATTCGTACAGCCAATCATGTACTACGCAGTTCCAAGTTCGGTAGAACCGAGCATAGGATGTCGAGTTCCACCAATCCTGAAATAAAGTCATAAATATATAACATACAGGAGAGCCTCGCTTTACAGCGCATCACTCTATGACATTTCATTAATACGGCGATTTTCAGTTTTACCCAATCTTCGTTTATTCAGACTTCACCACTCACTATAAGCTAAAGACAAAAATATTTGAAGGTAAGTAAAGTGCATACTGCATATGCATTTTTCAGACCTAGCTCTATTGCTCACTCACAGTAAATGACCATATGACCTGTCTTTGTAATACTCATTTGTACTAAATTGTTATCTGTTTTACAATAATTTTTGTACCACTGAATATATCATTGCTTAGTTAATCTTAAGTTAATTTTAAGCTGCCCATAATGCTCTGCATACAAGTGGCTTTGGCATGTTGCACTTTAAATATTGTATTCCTTGTACTTCTCTGTATCACGTTCAAATTAATAAATAAATAAATAAATAAATAAATATGATGGCATAAAAATGTTATCAGGCTTTTATATGCATTTGAGAGCAAAAAAAGATTGTGATTCACTTTACAGCAGTAGCCTGGATCCTAACTTGCTGTATAAGCAGGTAAGTTTATTCAGATACAGGCACACATTAATACAGTTACATAAATTATCATACATAGCAGCACTCTGTGTAGATTATCTAGGATAACCCAAAAAAGTAAGACAAAATGACTTACTTCCATTGGGGTCCTCCTGTATAGTGTTTACTCTTGTATTAATAGAGAAACAGGTTTAATATAACACTGCCAAGATACTGCCTATACAAAGTTATAACTGAACTACCCATTCATAAATATTTCAACAAACAACTTTTTTTTTTTAACAAGTTGGCCGTCTCCCACTGAGGCAGGGTGACTCAAAAAGAAAGAAAATCCCCCAAAAAGAAAATACTTTCATCATCATTCAACACTTTCACCTCACTCACACATAATCACTGTTTTTGCAAAGGTGCTCAGAATACAACAGTTTAGAAGCATATACATATAAAGATACACAACATATCCCATCAAACTGCCAATATCCCAAACCCCTCCTTTAAAGTGCAGGCATTGTACTTCCCATTTCCAGAACTCAAGTCCGACTATATAAAAATAACCGGTTTCCCTGAATCCCTTCACTAAATATTACCCTGCTCACACTCCAACAGATCGTCAGGTCCCAAAAACGATTCGTCTACATTCACTCCTATCTAACACGCTCACGCACGCTTGCTGGAAGTTCAAGCCCCTCACCCACAAAACCTCCTTTACCTCCTCTCTCCAACCCTTTCGAGGACGACCCCTACCTACCTTCCTTCCCCTATAGATTTATGCGCTTTCCATGTCATTCTACTTTAATCCATTCTCTCTAAATGACCAAACCACCTCAACAACCCCTCTTCTGCCCTCTGACTAATACTTTTATTAACTCCACACCTTCTCCTAATTTCCACACTCTGAATTTTCTGCATAATATTTACACCACACATTGCCCTTAGACAGGACAACTCCACTGCCTCCAACCGTCTCCTCGCCGCTGCATTTACAACCCAAGCTTCACATCCATATAAGAGTGTTGGAACCACTATACTTTAATACATTTCCTTCTTAGCCTCCATAGATAACATTCTTTGTCTCCACATATACCTCCATGCACCACTCACCTTTTTTCCTTCATCAATTCTATGATTAACCTCATCCTTCATAAATCCATCCGCTGACACGTCAACTCCCAAATATCTGAAAACATTCACTTCTTCCATATTCCTCCTCTCCAATATGATATCCAATTTTTCTTTATTAAAATCCTTTGATACTCTCATCACCTTAATCTTTTCTATGTTCACTTTCAACTTTCTACCTTTACACACATTCCCAAACTCATCCACTAACCTTTGCAATTTTTCTTTAGAATCTCCCATAAGCACAGTATCATCAGCAAAAAAGTAACTGTCAATTCCCATTTTGTATTTGATTCCCCATAATTTAATCCCACCCTTCTCCCGAGCACCCTAACATTTACTTCTTTTACAACCCCATCTATAAATATATTAAACAACCATGGTGACATTACACATCCCTGTCTAAGACCTACTTTTACCGGGAAGTATTCTCCCTCTCTTCTACACACCCTAACCTGAGCCTCACTATCCTCATAAAAACTCTTTACAGCATTTAGTAACTTACCACCTATTCCATATACTTGCAACATCTGCCACATTGCTCCCCTATCCACTCTATCATATACCTTTTCTAAATCCATAAATGCAATAAAAACTTCCCTACCTTTATCTAAATACTGTTCACATATATGCTTCAATATAAACACTTGATCTACACATCCCCTACCCACTCTGAGGCCTCCTTGCTCATCCGCAATCCTACATTCTGTCTTACCTCTAATTCTTTCAATAATAACCCTACTGTACACTTTTCCTGGTATACTTGGTAAACTAATTCCTCTATAATTTTTACAATCTCTTTTGTCCCCTTTCCCTTTTTATAAAGGGACTATACATGCTCTCTGCCCTCCCCTCTTTCATACATTTATTAAACAAAAATATCAACCACTCCAATACTATATCCCCCCTGCTTTTAACATTTCTGTCATGATCTCATCAGTTCCAGTTGCTTTACCCCCTTTCAATCAATCAATCAATCAATCATTTTATTTCTTTGCAAGTAGTACATTGAGATCATGTATTTACAATGAGTTGCAGTGCAAAGAGAGCCTCTATCATGCCTAGGTATTATGGGAAGACTTAATTTAAGGGATTACTGACTAATACCTCACGCACCTCCCCCACACTTACATCCTGCTCTTCTTCATTTACAGTCATAAAATAATATTACACCGATAAAATAAAGGCAATTACTGTCACACTTGAAGTATATAATGGGGTGATGAAGGAAGGCTTCCACTCACTAGTATATGATGGAGTGAAGAAGTCTTCCACTCACAGTATGTGATGGAGTGAAGGAAGTCTTCACTCACAGTATGAGGATGAGGAAGTCTCCACTCACAGTATGTGATGGAGTGAAGGAAGTCTTCCACTCACAGTATGTGATGGAGTGAAGGAAGTCTTCCACTCACAGTAAGTGATGGAGTGAAGGAAGTCTTCCACTCACAGTATGTGATGGAGTGAAGGAAGTCTTCCACTCACAGTATGTGATGGAGTGAAGGAAGTCTTCCACTCACAGTATGTGATGGAGTGAAGAAAGTCTTCCACTCACAGTATATGATGGAGTGAAGGAAGTCTTCCACTCACAGTATATGATGGAGTGAAGGAAGTCTTCCACTCACAGTATATGATGGAGTGAAGGAAGTCTTCCACTCACAGTAGTGATGGAGTGAAGGAAGTCTTCCACTCACAGTATGTGATGGAGTGAAGGAAGTCTTCCACTCACAGTATGTGATGGAGTGAAGGAAGTCTTCCACTCACAGTATGTGATGGAGTGAAGGAAGTCTTCCACTCACAGTATGTGATGGAGTGAAGGAAGTCTTCCACTCACAGTAAGTGATGGAGTGAAGAAAGTCTTCCACTCACAGTATGTGATGGAGTGAAGAAGTCTTCCACATAAGTGGAAAATGAGTGATGGGACAAAGAAAGAAAGCAGCAAGTTTTAAAAATTACAAAGCACTGACATAAGAGCTGATTTAACAATACTGACAAAGGTTATGTACTATACAGCCTTACATATTAACACTCAAAAACCAAGATTATCCTACAAAAATATATATCACCCACACTAACAAGCAAGCAAAAATACCATCAGACGAGAGCTTACCTTATAGAACATTCTGTCAGCAAAGCGCATCATTTCGGCAAATGCATTCAGCCAGGCATGAAGGATGGCAAAGAACCCACACAAGAGTACCAGCGAGCCGGGAAACATGCATGAAAATACTGCCACCATCAGGTTGGTCTGTAAACAACGGATATACGTTAGAGTTGACCAGTGCGTTGAAAAAATAGATGTTGCTTCTAGGAAAGAAATGAAATATTAGTCGTGAAGTTATTTGTTGCTCCTGTTTAACTAATATTTATTAAAGTTTTTGTTCCTTTTGTGTCTAATTATATATTATGACTTTTTTTAATAACACCAGTCATTTCCCACCAGGGTAGGTTAATCCAAAGAAATGCCCACCATCCATAAAATCATGCCCATCTTTCAGAGCATAAGCATTTTATTTTCCATCTCCAGTTTTCCTGAATTCCTTCATGAATGTACAGTGGACCCCGGTTTATGATCAGCTCCCAATGCGACCAATTATGTAAGTGTATTTATGTAAGTGCGTTTGTACATGTATATTTGGGGGTCTGAAATGGACTAATCTAATTCACAATATTCCTTATGGGAACAAATTCGTTCAGTAATGGCACCTGAACATACTTCTGGAATGAAATAATATCGTAAACCGGGAGTCCACTGTACTTTGATCAAACCCCAATAGTTTGTCACATTCAAAACCCACTTGTCTACTCTGACCTAACCCACTCACACATGCCTGATGAATGTTCAAACCCCTACCACTCAAAACCCATCTTTACCACTAACCAACAATTAATCCTAGTTCATTTTCAGGTCATATCTGAACCAGACCATTGTCTAGTTTCTTCTCAAAACTGCAGGCTAGACATTAATTGTTTAAGTCACTGCATTGCACCCATTTGACCATAAACAGAAATGTTAATCTCAATCTTAAAATAATGAATCCTAACCAGTCATAAGTTGGCCTGTGATACTCCAATACTGAAACTATGTATTGTGCCAAAACAAAATCATTCACATTGCTAAACTCACAAACTAGTATTTACTCACTTAGCCATAATACCAACTTACCTCATAATTTGTAATATTTTAAATTAGAATTAATCTAAGTCTGCCCAAAATGCCTAGCCATGCTAGGTGTTCTAGTGGTACACTCTGTAATTATTATTTTACTACATGTAAACAATACAATAATCAAATTCTGTAAACTCAGCATTGTAATCTTTATAGAGAATAAACTTTAAATTCTTATAGAGAATAAACTTTGAATTCTTATAGAGAATAAACTTTGAATTCTTATAGAGAATAAACTTTGAATTCTTATAGAGAATAAACTTTGAATTCTTATAGAGAATAAACTTTGAATTCTTATAGAGAATAAACTTTATTCTTTCTTCACACCTTACCTCCAACCCTTCCTGGATGGTCCCCCGTTTGTTTGGTACAATTAAGAAATCACTGGCAAGAGTTACAAGCATTTCTGGATGTTTACTGAAGAGTAAATAGGACAACGAAACTTGTGTAAATATATCTGAGTTATTTCAAGAACCTGCTTGTAACTGTATCACTAAGAAGTGTATTACATGTTCATTAATATCAATGTATTAACGTATATCATACCGTAGTGAAAGACTCCTGACCAAACTTCCGGAAGACAGGTACACAAAACCGCACAAACAGAAAGTGAGTATAAAATAAACAACCAATAACTTGGCTTAAGTCATTAATCACTTTCTGCCAGTCACATCTTTCATTTCTGTAAAAATATAATGATATAAAATAAAAATTAACAACAAAATAGAAAGTCACATAGCTGGAAAAAGCATACAAATACAGTGGACCCCCAGTTTACGATCACCTCCCAATGCGACCAATAATGTAAGTGTATTTATGTAAGTGTATTTGTATGTGTATGTTTGGGGGTCTGAAATGGACTAATCTAATTCACAATATTCCTTATGGGAACAAATTCGGTCAGTACTGGCACCTGAACATACTTCTGGAATGAAATAATATCGTAAACCGGGGGTCCACTGTACATACACAGAACACATATATACAAAGCTAAGTTTTAAGTGCAATATAAAAAGTTGTAGTATAATAAATTTGAATCCATAAATAAGATTACTGTGCTTTGTACACTGCTGTGAAGTTCCCAATTTGTGTAAACTCTTAATACACAAATTTGCAAATGTTTAAATTATTTTTTATTACACAGTCTTCAATTACCCACATCCAATGACTGTTTCCCCAACAACACTATGTCTTACTCGGCCATGGTCACCCTGGCTTGGTATATCCAAATAACAAAAAAAAAAGGGCACAATACCGTGACTGGAACGATACACAAATAACCTGCACATAAAAGAGAGAAGCTTACGACGACGTTTTGGTTCGACTTGGACCATTTACAAAGTGACTTTGTAAATGGTCCAAGTCGGACCGAAACATTGTCGTAAGCTTCTCTCTTTTATGTGCGGATTATTTGTGTATTGGTATACCCAAGTCAGTATGGCCCAAGCCAGTGTGGTACAATGTACATGTATACTGTAATCTTCCCACCACACAACAGTCCTCAGGGAGGAGACCAAGTGTAGATTAACATCTTGAGCAGACGAAGAATTAAGGTTTCATGTAAATACAGTGGACCCCCGCTTTACGATCACCTCCCAATGTGACCAATTATGTAAGTGTATTTATGTAAGTGCGTTTGTACGTGTATGTTTGGGGGTCTGAAATGGACTAATCTACTTTACAATATTCCTTATGGGAACAAATTCGTTCAGTACTGGCACCTGAACATACTTCTGGAATGAAATAATATCGTAAACCGGCGGTCCACTGTATATATAAAATTACGTCTTTCAAGCGTATAAAATGAAGCAAAACTTTATTCATTCAATGCAAAATAACTATATTTTGGAAATTAATCAACCCATTATGGTACAATATGGTTCACTGTGTTGCATTTTACACTATAATAATAACAATATTAATAATAAAAGAAACAATTTTTCTATCATTCATTCAGCCACTGTCTTCCGAGAAGGCTGCTGAATTATTACTGCATTAACCTTTATTAAATGTGAAAGACAGTAAAGTTGATCTATGTATTCCCTTCTCCCTGTAATCTATTATAAATGTACAGTACAGTATATTGCCTACTACATATGTATCTCATTATTGTATCTCATAAATGTCAACCTGTGACCCAATCAACCTTTGTTACTATTTAACTTCATTACCTAACAGAATACTCCATTCTACTGATTACACAGCAACACAGTAAATGACCATATGACCTGTCTTTGTAATACTCATTTGTACTAAACTGTTACCTGTTATACAATAATTTTTGTACCACTGAATATATCATTGCTTAGTTAATCTTAAGTTAATTTTAAGCCTCCCCATAAATAAATAAATAAAAACCAATTGTACAGCAATGCAAGCAACCATATGACCTGTTTTTGTAATACTCATCAGTACTAAATTGTTATCTGTTTTACAATAATTTTTGTACCACTGAATGTATATCATTGCTTAGTTAATCTTAAGTTAATTTTAAGCTGCCCATAATGCTCTGCATACAAGTGGCTTTGGCATGTTGCACTTTAAAAATTGTATTCCTTGTACTTATCTGTATCATGTTCAAATTAATAAATAAATAAATAAATAAATAAATAAATAAATAAATAAATAAATAAATAAATGTATGAGAGTATAGTTTTACCAACGCTCTTATATGGGTGTGAAGCATGGGTGATGAATGTTGCAGCGAGGAGAAGGCTGGAGGCAGTGGAGATGTCATGTCTGAGGGCAATGTGTGGTGTGAATATAATGCAGAGAATTCGTAGTTTGGAAGTTAGGAGGAGGTGCGGGATTACCAAAACTGTTGTCCAGAGGGCTGAGGAAGGGTTGTTGAGGTGTTCGGACATGTGGAGAGAATGGAGCGAAACAGAATAACTTCAAGAGTGTATCAGTCTGTGTGGAAGGAAGGCGGGTAGGGGTCGGCCTAGGAAAGGTTGGAGGGAGGGGGTAAAGGAAGTTTTGTGTGCGAGGGGCTTGGACTTCCAGCAGGCATGCGTGAGCGTGTTTGATAGGAGTGAATGGGGACAAATGGTTTTTAATACTTGACGTGCTGTTGGAGTGTGAGCAAAGTAACATTTATGAAGGGGTTCAGGGAAACCGGCAGGCTGGACTTGAGTCCTGGAGATGGGAAGTACAGTGCCTGCACTCTGAAGGAGGGGTGTTAATGTTGCAGTTTAAAAACTGTAGTGTAAAGCACCCTTCTGGCAAGACAGTGATGGAATGAATGATGGTGAAAGTTTTTCTTTTTCGGGCCACCCTGCCTTGGTGGGAATCGGCCAGTGTGATAATAAAAAAAAATAATAAATAAATAAATGTGAAGGCACCCTATATGAAAAGATTTCTAGATCTAATCTTCAACACACACTCAACTTTCAAATCTTTCTACTGGGTTTCTACAGCATCATGTTATTTTAGCAGTAAAGCAACTTGATGGTGCCATGCAGACAGATTATGAAACAATATGCACACCAAAATGCCAATGGCAACTCACAGCATAAACCAGACTAGGTTAAATTTACTGCCACATTTACTGTGACAGAATAACAAAAAAAGGCACAATACCGTGACTGGAACGTTACACAAATAACCCGCAAGTCGGACCGAAACGTCGTCGTAAGCTCCTCTCTTCTATGTGCGGGTTATTTGTGTATTGTGACAGAATTATAGTACAGTATAAGTCACATGGAGGTGAAACTACAGGAAGAAAATCCGTGGTCAACTGGGCCTGCTGCTATAAACACCATGAATATTCACATATCAAACGTACCAGGAGGGCATTTCTTCGATACAAGAGTGGAATGCAAAATGTGACTGAGGTGTGTCTGGAATACTTACATCTCCATTCTTTCCATAAACATAAATCTATAATAATTTTGCATCCTTTTAACTAACACAGTTTCAAATGCACAATAAATATACAGTGGACCCTCGACCAACGATGGCATCCTCTAACGTTAAATCCGACTAGCGATACATTTTAACGTTAATATTTTGCCTCGACTAACGCTAAAAAAAACTCGACTAACGATATTCGTTCTCAGGTACCAATTAATATTGTTAGTCGAGGGTCCACTGTATATCAAAGTTCAGTCATGTGGGACTAAAAGCTAAAACTCATCATTTGCCAATTGAAAAAGTTTTTTTTTTTCAGGAGAGGCCGTTCCAAGCCACGGTGACCTGAAAAAGAGCACTTACACCATCACTCACTCCATCACTGTCTTACCAGGTATAGTAATAAAAAATTAAGGCCCTAGTGTGGCCCAGTGGCCCGGGGGCTAAAGTTCCTGCTTCATACACGGAGGGTCCGGGTTCGATTCCCGGCGGGTGGAAACATTTCGACACGTTTCCTTACACCTGTTGTCCTGTTCACCTAGCAGCAAATAGGTACCTGGGTGTTAGTCGACTGGTGTGGGTCGCATCCTGGGGGACAAGATTAAGGACCACAATGGAAATAAGTTAGACAGTCCTCGATGACGCACTGACTTTCTTGGGTTATCCTGGGTGGCTAACCCTCCGGGGTTAAAAATCCAAACGAAATCTTATCTTATCTTACAATATGACAGGTCTGCAATATACCAAAAAATTATATCACCAATACATACTTTTCACAAATAATACAAACCTTGGATATTCATCTCTATAAACTAAAGTTGGTGCAAAGAGGAAATACAGGTAGTGTGAAAAGTCTGGACAGATACTTTTGACCTGAATTTCTTCGTCTTTTTTGTATTTGACGGCACGACTGAGGTTACTTCTTACAAACGCCCAAGTCTTCATAAACATTCTAACCTGCGTGAACATACCACAATTCTTGTATATGATGTTAAGTGTTAGAATATAAGTTATACAGTGAAAACTGCCAACACAACACTGATGATTAATGAAATTCTTGATATAAAAGCTAGTTAACCCGTAAACGGTCCAAACGTATATATACGTTTTTTCAACATTTGAAAGTATGTAAAAAAAGTAGATCTTCTTTTTGTTTTTCTACATTTGAAAATGTGTAAAAAAACTTTGATCTACTTTTGTTTTGGTTACATTTGAAAATATGTAAAAAAACGTAGATCTACTTTTGTAGCGCTACACGTGTGAACGTAGATCTGCTTGGACCGTTTATGGGTTAATGCAATATAAGCAACACAATAATAAACAAAAATAAAGTGTAAGATTATTGGTTAGATAGTGAAAACTGGCATATTACATTTATTATAATTAAATTAATGCCATTAAAAGTTAGTTCAGTTAATATAATCGAAACAGTTTTTTAGCATGCTGGCCATCTGCCCAAAGTTCAGGGTGACCCAAAAAAGAAACATTTTTGCCATTATTCAAATTATCACTGTCTTGCCAGAGGTGCACAGATACAACAGTACGTACAAGCTTACTATGAATTATACAAGAAAAATTAACTTACTTGTTCACACAGAATAATGAAAGAGGATGCTGGAGGAAGTGCATTATAGAGGAGAGACTCTAAAGGCAGATAGAGGAAGAGGATCAGGTATGCCACATATACAAGTCCTCCAACTGTGTCATACACAACTGTGTGAAGAATAACAACCAATAAATAGCAACCAAAATATTTAAATAAGGTAGTGTGTGACACTACTCTCATGTCAGCTCTCATAGTTTAAACACACACAGCTAATACTACATAGTACAGTGGACCCCTGCTTAACGATCAGCTCCCAATGCGACCAATTATGTAAGTGTATTTATGTAAGTGCGTTTGTACGTGTATGTTTGGGGGTCTGAAATGGACTAATCTACTTCACAATATTCTTTATGGGAACAAATTCAGTCAGTACTGGCACCTGAACATACTTCTGGAATGAAAAAATATTGTTAACCGGGGGTCCACTGTATATAAAATGAAATTCCAAGGACTTTTCTGGGTCATCCTAAGTTAATAATCAAAAATAATTCCTCTCTACCAAACTTATTAAAGCCATATAACATGAACTAATAGAATATTCAATTCTCCTGTACATATTCATTATAAACTCACCTAATGACCATATGTACCTACATAATTACTGCACTGTTATTGCCTTATTAACCTTAAGTTAGTCTTAAGTTTGTCCGAAATGCTCTGCATATAAAGGGGCTTTTGGCGTGTACACCAAATTGTTATACTCCTTTGTACAAACCTGTATTATGCTGAAATAAATTTTTTATTATTATTATTATTATTATTATTATTATTATTATTATTATTACAGTGGAACCTCGGTATACGACCAGCTCCCTCCTCAAACAAAGCTCAGACAAATTGACCTGCCAGCACTTTGCTGTGAATTATTTTGTGTTTCTTCACATTTTTTGGTATTTTTTGTATTATCTGTATAAATAAGTCACTATGGGTCCTATGAAGATTAGTGATAACAGCCAACCAAACAGAAAATTGGTTGGGAAGAACTTGTTGTTAAATTAGACACATGACAGGATGGATAATGAGAACCTTCAAAACTAGGGAGGCCAAGCCCATGATGACACTCTTCAGGTCACTTGTTCTATCTAGGCTGGAATATTGCTGCACACTAACAGCACCTTTCAAGGCAGGTGAAATTGCTGACCTAGAAAATGTACAGAGAACCTTCATGGTGCGCATAACGGAGATAAAACACCTCAATTACTGGGAGCGCTTGAGGTTCCTGAACCTGTATTCCCTGGAATGCAGGCAGGAGAGATACATGATTATATACACCTGGAAAATCCTAGAGGGACTAGTACCGAACTTGCACACGAAAATCACTCACTACGAAAGCAAAAGACTTGGCAGACGATGCAACATCCCCCCAATGAAAAGCAGGGGTGTCACTAGCACGTTAAGAGACCATACAATAAGTGTCAGGGGCCCGAGACTGTTCAACTGCCTCCCAGCATACATAAGGGGGATTACCAACAGACCCCTGGCAGTCTTCAAGCTGGCACTGGACAAGCACCTAAAGTCGGTTCCTGACCAGCCGGGCTGTGGCTCGTACGTTGGTTTGCGTGCAGCCAGCAGCAACAGCCTGGTTGATCAGGCTCTGATCCACCAGGAGGTCTGGTCACAGACCGGGCCGCGGGGGCGTTGACCCCCGGAACTCTCTCCAGGTAAACTCCAGGTATGTGCAACTCTTGGGTATCTTTATTGAGGAAACGTTTCGCCACACAGTGGTTTCATCAGTCCATACAAAGAAAACGGGGAAGAACAGGAGTAGTTTGAGGTAGTCCCTCAACCTTGAGTCGATGTGGTCAGTCCATCAATCTTTGTATGGACTGATGAAGCCACTGTGTGGCGAAATGTTTCCTCAATAAAGATACCCAAGAGTTGCACATGTGTCTAATTTAACAACATGTCGGTTCTTTGAACCATTCATCTACAATCCTGGGAAGAACTTGTTCGATACTCAAACTGAGCAGCACAGCACTCGAACAGCCTTCTGGAATGAATTAAGGTCGCATACCAAGGTTCCACTGTAGTACGTATTTACATTATGTGTAAATTACGTACTCAGGATAACCGAACCTGTACTTATGTGTGCTTGTGCCTAAATAAACTTAATTAGAAACAGAGATGTAGTCTGGTGGCCTCTGCACCTGTT